TTGAACATTTTTTAATGTGCTTATTCCCTATCTATATGTATCTATCCATCTATCTAAATTTTTTTGTTTTTGAGAATTATCTGCTTAAGTCCTTTGCCCATTTTCAAATTGGGATATTTGTCTTTCTATCATTGAGTTGTCAGAGATCTTTATATATTCTGGATACTAGCCCTTTGCTAGATGTATAATTTGCAAATAATTTCTCTTATTTTGTGGTCTTTTTACTTCATAGTGCCCTTTTAAGCAAAGAAGTTTTTAATTTTGAAGTCTAGTCTGTCTTCGTCACCTGTGCTTTTGCTGTCATCCACACCATTGCCTTCATCCAAGGTCATGAAGATTTATCCTTGTTTCCTTCTAAGAGTTTTATGGTTTTAGCTTGCACATGTAGGTCTTTGATCCATTTTTCAGTTGACTTTTGTATATAATGTGGGGTGAAGGTCCAGCTTCATCCTTTAGCATGTGGATATATCCACTTACCCCATTTGTTGAAAAGACTGTTCTTTCCCCCACTGAATTGTCTTGACACCCTTGTCGAAAGTCAGTTGGTCATAAATATTGTGGGGGTTTATTTCTGAACTCTGAGTTCTAGCACATTGATCTGTATGTCTGTCCTTAAGCGAGTACCACACTGTCTTGCTTACTGTAGCTTTATAGTAAGTTTTGAAATCAGGAAGTGTGAGTCCGCCAGCTTTGTTCTTCATTTTCAGGATTGTTTTGACTATTTCAGATCCCCTACATTTTCACATAAATTTCAGGATCAGCTGTTCATTTTCTGCAGAAAAGTGAGGTGTGATTTTCATAGGGGTTGCATTGAATCTGTGGACCACTTTAGGGAGTATTGCCATCTTAACGGTGTTATCTTTCCATGAACACGGGATGTCTTTTCATTAATTCAGGGTAATCCAAGTCATGTTAATCCCAGTATTTTAGAGATGAGGGATTGAAGGTTCTGCCCATGATTATTCTGGAGAATAAAATCTATAGGAGAACACTCAGTTAACATTTGCAGAATGAATGAGTGAACGAATGAACTACCTTAATAGTATTCCTTTTAAGGATGATGCTTATGAGGTGCTGATGGGTAAAAAAGGGTTGGAATACTAAGATTTGTATGTGGGCGTGTGGGCTCAGTTTTCCTAACCAGATGGAGCTGAGGATATGGGTCCTGGGCTGATAAAATCAACAAATGACCTTGGGGTTTGGGAGGCTGGTTTGTATGTGGAAGTCAGTGGATACCATCACTCCCTTTGGCTGAGAACGCTTCATGCTGAACTTAACAAATCATGGGGCATTCTGGGTTATTTGACAAATAGAGGCACAGGAAGGATAGCGTGGATTGGTTTGTGAACCTTTAGATGTCACCCCAAAGAGATTAGAACAGAAGCTTTGTGTGAAAACAGGGCAGGGGGAGGGGCTTGTTCACCTTCCCTGACGGAGACCCTCTGATGTCTTTCTTACCTGTTGATTTTCTGTGGTGTTTATGAGGATCCTGCATTTCAGGTGTTGCTCGGTTGACTGCTGACCAGCCAGCTGGTACCACTTCCTGCAAAGGCTGGCCGGTGAAGCTGCAGGCGGCAGCGCTTTTGTAGCATGTTTGGCAGCTGGGCAGAGAGGGCCTGAATCAGGGCCTTTGGAAACAGCGGCCCTTACATCTCTTCCTTCGAGGTGTTGCCTGCCATTGGCTCTGTCATTTTCCAGGATGTCTCAGCTGCCACTGAGATCCAGGCAGATTTGGTTTTTTCCATAGTGTGGAAAAGTGCTTCTTGAGGTGGGAATGAACTTTAGAAAGCAGGGGAAGGTGGGCTTGTTTCACAGTCAAGTCCGGGCTTCATGACTCTGGCCGGATCTGCCGGATCTGCACGACTCTTGTCACTTCCAGGGTGTTCAGCGGCCATTTATACCTGACGCTCCTGAGTAGGAGGCAAGAGCTGTGTTTGGCCTCCTGGAATTTTTTTTTCAGTCTTTCACCAAAGAAGCTAGTCCTTGGAATCTCCTGCTCCAGGTCCAGCATGTGAGCCCTTTGCCTCTGGTTTTGTCCTTGGAGGGTGGACCGTGTGCTGCCCTCTCTGTACCTGACTCGAGGCTCTGAGTCACCCACCCCGTTGCCCATTTTTCAGGGATGTGAGAAGTGAGTTGCCAACAGGACGTGTTCTCTTTATCAGTCTTCTGGGCTGCGAAGAGGGAGAAACCTTCCTGGACTCCATTTCTCTGGAAGTTGAGGTGCTTCTCTGCACCTCCTGTTGGCACCCATCCTACTATGGGCATCAAGGGACTAGCTATGAACCCCTTCTAGAGGTGTGTGGTTAGTTCCTGGGGGCTCTCGGGGGTCTCGTCCTACCTGGCTTGTGCATAGCTGTGGATTATAATGCTGTCACGTGGCTTGGGGGCACGCACATCCTCTGCTGGCTCTGTGGCCTGGGGCAGGTCACTTAATCTTTAACTCCAGTTTCCTCATCTGAAAAACGGCATCTCCCATAGGGTTATTACTGGGAAACTAGGTAATATTGTATGTAAAATAATGAGTAGGATGGCGGGCACTTGGCAAGTACCCCCTGCACTGCTGTTACTGCCCCTGCCATCGCTACTTCTGCTCAGCGGGCCTTGCTACTGAGTTTTCAGGCCCATGGTCCCTTATGTGCTGTTCTCAAATCTAAAGCCTCTGAAAACTGATCTTTTTTTTTTAACTTCTCATCTGGCAGCAAGACCTGACTTGAATTGACAGGTGATGCGTAGGCTGATTTATCCCTCTTAAGGTGCCGAGGCTGCAGGACTCCTCACATGCATGACTCGGGGTGCCCCACCTCCCTGGCTGTGGTGTGTGGTTTGGTGCTGGGGGGCCCTCCACTGCTTGAAGAAGGAATAACTTGCATTGGGGCAGCCCCTTTCCCTGCCCCAGGGCCTTCCAAGTGACGGGTCCTCTGGCTGGGCTGCTCCCAAGGTGAGGGCGGGCACAGCTGAGTGGGAGCGGTGAGCACGTGTGGGCCAGCAGAGCCATGTCTGGTGCGTCCTTTCATCTTTGGAGTTCGGAACAAGTGTAGGAGGCTAGAGATCCAGGGTGGCAGTGCTTCCTGGAGGGGCACCTCGGCCCCAGAGGTGCTGCGGTTTCCTCGCATGCTGCAGGCTGTTGGGAGAATAAATCTGTGGAAGGGGCCACTTGGGTGTGAACACCAAAAGGTGTGTGGGGGCCTTCAGCTCTGTACGGGGACCCTTTGCACTGCAGGAGAGCATGATGGTGGCAAGGCTTGATTCCTGGAGATCTGTGGACTGCTTTCCTTCCTAAAGTGATTGTGAGTTTCTAAGCAGCCCCTGTCGTTTTGGGGGAGCTGTAAGTGTGTGTTGTGGGAGAAGAGCTCCCTGGAAGGAAGACACTCTGCACTGTGATGCATTGTGACCGTATTTCTGGGCCCAGGAGCTAGCAAGGGATGGGACTTTGTTTTAGGGATCCAAGTATGACAAGCAACTAAAATGAAAAGGCTGGGACTGGACTGAAGCTTGTTTCATTGGCAGAGAAGGGGCTCTAAGCACTACTAGATGCCAATTAGACCAGATAGTTTTGAGGTGAGAGTGTGTCTCCCTAACAGAGGGGTGATCCATTTTTCAGCAAACTCAGAAAGTTGCTTCACATGAGACCTGTTCTACCTACGATCCTGGTCCTTCCCACTTCTGATCCTCAGGGGACAACAGACCTTGGTGGACAGTGGACAGTGTCCCAGCAGCCGGCATCTGAGCTCCACCATAGATCCTGGTTTGCAAGAGGCTCTGGGGCTGGTAGCCTGGTTGTAATGACCTTAGAGCAGGATCTGTGGCTGGTTTGTGCCCTGCTTAGCATTTAGCATCACCTTCTTCTGTTCATCTGCCTGTTTCCCTGAGTCACAGGGTAAGAAGGACTGGAGCCAGTTTGGGGAAGGTCTCAGACGTCAGTTCCTCAGGGTTACTGGCTCACTCTCCTGAGGTCTGGGTTGCTGAGTACGTCCTATGTGCCTGCCATCTTGTTGAGGAACACTGGTGACAACACACTGTCCGTAACTGCCCTCCTGGGCTCCCTGTCTCAAAGGGAAGACCCATGAGAGAACAGACAGTGACGGTCAGTGCTGTGACGGGGGCCCAGTGCAGGGCGCTCAGGGAGGGCTGCCAGGAGAAGGCAGTGTGGAAACTGGGTCCTGCAGCCTGAGCAGGCATCAGCCGGGGGAGTGTGTTCCTGGCAGAGGAAACAGAGGAGGACTGTGTGGCCTCTCTGGGGAAGGACGAATGGCCTGAGGAGCCTGGCCTGAGGCGTGGGGGCCACTGAAGGGTCCGGAGCAAGGGCGTGCTGCCATTGGAAGCAGGGGTGCCCCGCGTTGGCTCCCTGGGGCCGCCATGATGAAGTGCCAAAACCTGGGTGGCTTGAAACGATGTCTTCTCACACAGTTCTGGAGCCTAGAAGTTGGAAGTCAAGGTGTTGGCAGGGCGGTGCTTCCTCTGAAGGCTCTAGGCGAGGACCCATCCTGGCCCCTTCCAGCTTCTGGCGTTTGCTGGCTTCCTTGATGTTTCTTGGCTTGTAGGAGGCATCCTCCAGTCACGTGGTTGTCTTCGCTTTGTGTCTTCACACAAGAGCGCTCTGTGCCTGTGTCCGAGTCTCCACCTTTCATAAGGACACCAGTCCTACTGGATTAGGGTCCACGCTAACTTACGACCTTATTATTTGGTTTCCTCTATAAAGACCCTATTTCTGTGGGAGGGTATGGCTCAGTGGTAGAGCGCATGCTTAGCATGTACAGGGCCGTGGGTTCCATCCCCAGTACCTCCGTTAAATAAACAAACCTAATTACTTTCCCCCAAAAAACAAAACAAAACAAAATTTTTAAAAATCCTATTTCCAATTAAGGTCACTTTTTAAGGCCAGAGGGTTAAGATTCCAGCTATCTTTTTGGGGGACACACTTCAACCCGTAATCCCCTGAACTCGGGGCCTGACGGGTCCTGCGGGCTCCCATCTTACCGGTCCCGTGTGTTCTCCTGCAGAACCGGGCGGTAGGTCGGCCCAAGGGGAAGCTGGGCCCGGCCTCCGCGGTGAAGTTGGCTGCCAACCGGACGACGGCGGGAGCTCGCCGGCGCCGGACGCGATGCCGCAAGTGCGAGGCCTGCCTGCGGACGGAGTGCGGAGAGTGCCACTTCTGCAAGGACATGAAGAAGTTCGGGGGCCCCGGGCGGATGAAGCAGAGCTGCATCATGCGCCAGTGCATCGCGGTGAGTGCGCCGAGGGCGCCTCCACCCCGGGAGTGGAGGTGGCAGCCCTTCCTTCCTTCCTCCAGACCCCACCTCGCTCTGCGTCAGGCCCGCCTGTCCCCTCTGCTCGTTGGTCTGTCCAGTCTGTCCGCTTACAGAGAAAGTCGCCACAGCAGAAACCTCGGGCGTGGGGGTGCTCTCACCGTCCTGGGAAGAAAGGGGGCTCCAACTAGAGCTGTTTTCAGATTCCTCACTGCAGGACTGGGGCAGTCCTGCCACGTGCTCAGGCTCCTTTTTCTTCCTAGTCTAATGGTCTTGTAACGCCCTCCTGCCCTCCGTGACCGAGTACTTTGAAGTCTCTGCCATTAAAGATGTCAAGGCAACCTGTCCTGTCTGTGACCCCGTTGCTAACATTTATGGTCCAGTTCATGATGATTCTAGGCCCTCCCTTCCTTCCTGTCCTGCCTTCAAAGTCAGAGGTCTGGGTGGAAGGTCAGCGCCCCGCCTGAGGGGGCTCCCCCAGAAAAAGGACTGATTTATGGTGCCCAGGAGCTGGGCGGCCGCAGAGCCTGGCCAGCGCCTCTGACTGCCTCGCCTCGCCTCCCCGCTGGCCTTGCCCCAGGACAGGGCCGCAGCCGCAGACTCCGGCACCTCCGCCAGGTCCCGGCTCTGCCCTGTGCACCCCCGGCACACACCCACACACTCTGCTCTCCTTAGGGCACTGCTCGTAGGGTCCTCCCTGTGGGAGTAGTGATCTCTGTGCTCCCACGGAAAAGCAGGCTCAGCAGGAGGGACAGGATCCTCGGCCCTGGGTGAGCCCTCGCAGGTCCAGCCTGGCTTCAGGGAGGGGGCTGGGGGCAGCTTCTCTCTGCGGCTGCTGTCCCTCCAGTACTGGGGCACCTTCCCTTTCCCCTCCACACATGTACTGCTTGTGTTTCTGTGTTTTCCTGCTGTGGTTCTTTTTTCTTTTCTTTTTTACTGTGGTCAAAATTTACCATCTTAAACCATTTTTAAAAAATCATTTATTTATTTACTTTGTTTTTTGATGGGGGGAGGTAATTAGGTTTATTTATTTATTTATTTTAACGGCAGTACTGGGGAATGAACCCAGGACCTCCTGCATGCTAGGCAAGCACTTTACCACTGAGCTATACCCTCCCCCCTCCATCTTAACCATTTTTAAGTGTAGTTATGTTACCTGTATGCTCATTGTTGTGCAAACTGATCTCTGGAACTTTTTCATCTTGCCGAATGGAACCTATGTCCATTGAACAGAAACTCCTCTTTCCCCCTCCCCTAGCCCCTGGCAACCGCCTTTCTACTTTCTGTTTCTAATTGTGACGACTTTAGACACCTCACGTAAGTGGAATTAGGCAGTATGTCTCCTTCTATGAGCTTATTTCACTTAGTTCAATGTTCTCAAGGTTCTGTCACATTGTAGCATGTGCCGGGATTTCCTTCTTTTAAAAGGCTGAATAATATTCCATTATATGGATATACTGCGTTCTCTTTGTTCATCTGTTGATGGGCATATAAGTTGCTTCCAACTCTTGGTTATGCTGCGGGGGAATATGCGTGTGCCTGTGTCTCTTTGAAATCCTGTTTTGAATTCTTTTGGGCCCAGGAGTAGGATTGATGGATCATATGATAGTTCTCTTTTTAATTGTTTGAGGGATCTCCATACTGGTTCCCCACAGTGATGGCTCCGTTTCCCATTCCCACCAGTAGTGCACGAGGGTTCCAGTTTTCCCCACATCCTCGCCAACACTCTTTATTTTCTCTTTTTTGATAGTGGCCATCCTGATGGGTGTGAGATGGACCTCGTTGTAGTTTCGATCTGCATTTCCCTGATGACTAGTGATGCTGAGCATCTTTTCCTGTGATTCTTGGTCATTTGTAGGCCTCCTTTTTACAAATGTCTATTAAGTCCTTTGCCTGTTTTTAAATTGTGTTAGTATTTTTGTTGTTGAGTTGTAGGAGTTCTTCTTGTATTCTGGGTGTTAACCCCTCTCAGGTACGCAGTTTGTAAATATTTTCTCCCATTGTGTAGGTTGCCTTTTTACTCTGTTGACTGTTTCCTTTGCTGTGCAGAATGTTTTTTGAGTCTCACAGCTTGTGTTTTTGTTACCTGTACCCAGGTCATTTGAATGGATTTCAGGAAATTTGAGTGCCCCCTTGAAATTAAATACAAGTCTTTTTCTGTGTGCATGTGTGTCTGTGCGTTTTTCTGGAGTGAGAGTCCATGACCTGTTGCATTCTGCAGCGGTTTAAGAGAGGTTGTCTGTAGGGACTGTGGGTTTTGAAAGTGTCACCTAAAACTTGGCATGTTAGCAGTGCCCCAGGACTGTCTTCTCCTTCAGCCGTACTTTCTCTTTTACCCCCTCCCTCCCCTGCCATCCCGTTCTTTGCAGCTCTGGTGCCTAGCCCGGCGCCTGGCACAGGGCGTGTCGGTGGAAGGAAACCTCACTTACATGTGTGTCTTCCTCTCCAACCTGACGTGGCTTCTGAGACTGATGGCAAATGCAGCCTCGACCTGACCCTCGCTCAGGACCTTCTTGCTCTTCTTCCAGCCTTTCCACTTTGTTGGGGCGCTCCCTGCCATGTTTTGCTCATCTCTGACCTGTGCAGGCCCACCTCTATTCCTTCTCCTGGACCTTCTCCCTGATGTGCCGGAGTCTCCCTCTTCCCATCAGCATCAGCAGCCTCCCCTTTGCGCCTCTCTCGGGGAGGCTTCCTCCCCAGACTTCATCGCTTCCCACTGCCCCACACTGTCTCCCTCTAGCCCCGGCCTGGGTCTCTGCAGTGGTTTTGCCTCTGGTTCTCCCTCATCACCTACTTCAGAGCCAGTCTCCACCCCTCACCCAGTTCCCATCACAGACCATCCTCTGACAGCCAGGTGTGCCCTTCAGCATCCCCAGCTCTGGCCCACTGTGCTCCCCGGCCCCGGGCGGTCTGGCCTGCTCCTTGCTGCTCAGCACATCCGGCTCTTGCTTCTCCATCCTTGTTCACAGCGATCTGTCCTCTTGGAGGCCCCTTTTGCCCTTCCTGCTCCCCACTTTTCTCTGCCCAAAGGTGCCTAAATTCCCTGTCCTGCGAGTCCTCCAGAAACAGCCTCGCTGCCCCTGGTAGCACTTGCACAGGGCTTTCCCGTGTTTTCCTAGGACTTCAGCGTGTTCTCTCTTCATCTTCCCAAACATCTTGAGGTAGCAGCCGTCTTCCTCCCTCCTGTTCCCCTCTCGGTTGCTGGCCTCAGGTTTTAGCAGATCTTTATTAAGTATTTGCTGAATGACCGATGACTCTTTTGCCTTCAGTGTTTTTTATTTGAACACAAAGGTTTGTGTCATGTTACAGGCTTTTTCAGTTATCGGCAGAGTGTATATCCCAGCTTATTTGAAGACACTGTAACTCAGTTTAATAAAAATTGGTGGTGTATTTCCCCTGGTTTCCCGGTGCTAGGAGGTGTGTAAGGAGGAGAGTGAGCGAGCCCTGGCCTGTCCACGGGGATGTACAGTCTAATGCACCAGTTCTCACACTTTGTGGTCTCAGGACCCATTTACCCTCTTAAAAATGATGAGAAACCCAAAGAGCTTTTGTTAATGTGGGTTATTTATTTATTAATATTACTATAATAAATTTTAAAAATATTTTAAATTCATTTAAAAATTACTAGAAACCCACTATATATTAACATAAGTAACATTTTTTATTGAGAAATAACTACCTCTTCCACAATGGAAATGATGAGTAGGGAAAATGGCATCCTTTTATGTTTTTGTAAATGTTTTTTGTGTCTGGTTCATCAGAAGAGATCTGGATTTTCACATTTGCTTCTATATTCATTCTGTTGTGATGTTGTTTTGGAGGAACTTTATGAGGAAAATCTGGCCTCATAAATACGCATCTGGGAAAGGGAGGAGTATTTTAATAGCCTTTTCAGATTATTGTGGATGCACCACCAGAACTCAACAGGTGGCAGTTGCTTGAAGGTTAGTTGCAAAGTGGAATCTGAAACTGTATCAGTGAACTCTTCATACTGCTACATTAAAATTCATTACTCTTTCTCGTGCCTCCGATAGCTCATGCATACTGTTGTAACATCATACACTGGTCATTTGGAAAATACTGGCTAACTGAGTTCTACAGATTTTCCAAATATGGGCACATAACATTACACAATGTTAAAAAAAAATCGCCTTTGTTAACACCATGACCAGCGTGCCCTCAGAAAAGTCTTTAACTATTGGGAAGCTGTCTAGTTCATGGTGGCTACTATAAGTTTTCCAAAATTCTAATTTTTGGTTGAAAATTTGAATTTCATCATCCACAACAAGTGCTTTATTTTTCTGGAAGGAACAGGTTCACTAGTTTCATCTTTGAGAAAATGTGCCATTACCCATGGTTTTTTATTATCAGTCATTCTTCCAAGTAAAATGATGTTCTATGGAAACGTGGCCAGTTCAGCTCACAGCTCGGTCACAGGAGTGCTTTTCCTTCAGATAGCCATTGTCCTTTGGTGTACAGCTGAGGTAGTTAATGCATGCTTCCTATTTTGTCATGCAGAATATTAAAAGGATGTGTACTCAAAGGTCAAAGTTTTAATAAAATTCACAATTTTTAGTGCTTTATCAACAACGTTCTTAAGTGAAACTGATGATCTTTTTAAGGAGCGTGTGGCCAGGAATAGCCTACTGACTCCCAGGGCACTTTGGAGCCCCTGCACTGACAGGTGCCAATAGTTTCACCCACCCGTGCAAATGCCAATGCAGTGAAAAAGGCAGATAACGTCTTCGTAGTATTCTGAAGATAGTTTGATCTCCCTGGAAAGGTTTGGGGACCCCAGAGTCCTTGGCCTGTGGTTTGATAGCTGCCAAAGAGATGCAGCCACAGCATCGACTTACGGATCTGGGCTCAGTTTATGCCCCACTGCCTTTCTCAGGTCTTCTCTCAGATGTGAGGCTGTCCCTGGCTTCTGCTTTTCAAATTAGCCCTCCTTTCCCCCACCTCACGGCTGGCCTGGCCCGCCTTTATTTTTCTCCATTTCCCTTGTCACCATCCAACATGCCCTATTGCTCTTCATCTTGTCTCCCTCCCCACTAAAATGTAAGCTCAAGATAGCAGAGATTCGTGCGTGGTGTTTACTGATGTCACTGGCACTTGGAGGGGTACCCGGCACCCGGAAGTAGTAGCTGGAGAGTATCTGAGTGAACGAATGGCTGATGGGCAGTGCCCGGGCCGGCCCTCCCACGGCTCCTGGCAGCAGAGCAGCTCACAGCCTCTGACCTGTTCCCCATGGGGTTCTGGCCATGCTGACTCCTCTGTGTTCTCCCCGGCTCTTCAGCCAGTGCTGCCCCACACCGCTGTGTGCCTAGTGTGTGGCGAGGCGGGGAAAGAGGACACAGTGGAAGAGGAAGAAGGGAAGTTTAACCTCATGCTCATGGAGTGCTCCATCTGCAACGAAATCATCCACCCTGGATGCCTTAAGGTGAGCAGCCTTGAGGGCATCTGAGTGCTGCTCGGTGCCTCACCCAGGGCCTCTGGTGGTGCTGATGCTGGCAGGGGTTGGGAGGTGGGGGGAGTGAGGCTAGCTTCCTTCCCTGGAGGACCTCTGAGTCAGGGGGATTCTGAGTGTCAGATGATGAGCAGAGGGCAGGAGGGTCTGAAGTCGCTCAGACCTTCCACCCATGTCTTTGAGGCAGCGAACACACTCTCCACCTCCCAGGACCTCAGAACCACAGAGAGTCCCCAGAGTCTTGCACCTGGACCAGGGGAGGGTGGATCCCGTAGCAGCAGGTGGTTGCATTCCTGTCCTGTGTGCCAGGAACCTGTTCCCTTGGTGTGCCCGGGAAGGACTGCCTTTTCCTGGGGACCGCCGTGCTGGGCCCCCCCGTCGTAGGCAGCAGGTTCCACCTTTGAAAGGAAGAGACTGCTCTGGGCTGGCACACACCTCATACCTTCTGTCCTAAGACAAGGTCATCATCCCTGGCACCTCCCTTCAGCCCAGGTGTTATCCTGTGTGTATCTGTGTTTAGAGAGATCAGAGGCTCTGAGGTGTCTGTCCCCTTCCCTCAGGGGTGGCTGCGGGTTGTTTTTGCTCTTACCCTATCCCCCAAACACACACACCTGCCACTTTGAGAAGGGGTTCTGTGATTCTTCTCTTGACCCCAGTCATCTCTCCCAGCTCAGAAGCTCCGGGAAGACAGGGGCAGCATGTTTGACTCGCTGATACCAGGCACCCAGTACGGTGCTTATTAAATGACTGTAGTTTATGGATCCTTGCTGGGTACCAGGCCCTGAGCTAATTGCTTTACATAAATCCACATAAATCCAATGAGACAGGCACACCCCACTGTATGGTGGAGGGTGCTGGCCCATAGACACGGAGGGATTTGCCAGGGATCCCTGAGCTGGGAAGAGGCAAGATCAGGATTGGAACCCTGACCCGAATCCAGAGCCACCTGTCTTAATCTCCCTTGTGTTCTGTTGGGCAAAGGTGGTGTGGAAATGGCGTTTGGGAGGGGGTGTTGATGCGCCCAGCAGGCCTGGCCTTGTCCATCCCCTCCCTGCTTGCTGACTGGTGTGTGTCCCTTGCAGATTAAAGAGTCAGAGGGCGTGGTCAACGATGAGCTTCCCAACTGCTGGGAGTGTCCAAAGTGTAACCACGCCGGCAAGACCGGGAAAGTGAGTGCCGGGCTCCAAGTCCCCGGGGTCAGCTCGGGGCGGGGTGCCCCTTGGCCTTGCCAAACCCAGCCTGTCCCTGCAATGGCGCAATGGCGATGTCGGCTTGGGGGGTCCTGCGGACTCGGGGACAAGTCCAAAGATATACAGTTCGCGTGTTCCTTCTCTGTTTTTGGCCTACAAGCAAAAGCGTGGCCCTGGCTTTAAGTACGCCTCCAACCTGCCTGGCTCCCTGCTCAAGGAGCAGAAGATGAACCGGGACAACAAGGAAGGACAAGAGCCTGCCAAGCGGAGGAGTGAGTGTGAGGAGGCCCCGCGGCGCAGGTCAGACGAGCACCCCAAGAAGGTGCCCCCTGATGGCATCCTGCGCCGAAAGTCGGACGATGTGCACCTGAGGAGGAAGCGGAAATATGAGAAGCCCCAGGAGCTGAGTGGCCGCAAGCGAGTACGGACTGGGAGCGGTGGGCCGCGAGGGGTGCCTGGCTGGTCCCGGGTGCAGGGGGCGGGGGCGGGGGCGGGGGCAGGCGCCTGGGAGAACTCCGGAGCTTGGCCTCTGGCTGCCCTGAGCCGATCACATTAAGTCCCTTGAGCCCGGCCCAGGAGAAAGGAGGGGAAAACCAGCGAGTCATTCCTCTTCCCACCTCTTTAGGCCTCGACGCTTCAAACGTCCCCGGGTTCTTCCTCTCACCTCTCGCCGAGGCCCCCTCTAGGCAGCAGCCTCAGCCCCTGGTGGAGATCCAGTCTCACTTACTTCCAGCAGCAGGTGCTCCCACGTCGCCCCGCCCTCCCGAGGCCCCCAAGGACTTGATGAGTCCTGGGCCACCCCCCCTACCCCTGCCCCACTGGCTCTTGAACCCATTGCCGCAGACCTCCGAGGCACCTGTTCACCGTAGCTTCCCAGGCCTCAGTCCCGGGGCGCTGGTTCGTGGTTTTGACGTGGGGCCTGGGAAGCTGAAGCTGCCGCGGGGAAGCCCTGCTGATCTGGGGAACCTCGGAGGATCCTGGCGGCCCCGCTCCGCCCACCGGCCCTTCCAGCATCAGCCACGAGGTGGCGCCTGGTTGTCTTCTCCCAGCTCCAGCCACTAAGGCTCATTTGCGAATCCTGCAGACCGAGCCCCGGGGACTGGCTCCCAGAGAGCCCAGTCTAGCCTGAGTGGGCGACTGCACATCTCTGGGTCTGTCCAGGGGTGGGAGGTCCATTGGGTGGGGACAGGTCAACCACCCTCCGCCACTTCCAGCTTCTTCCTTAAAACCAGCAGGCAGGGCCCACCCGTCTGTCAGCATGGAAGAGGTGGAATTTGTTGGGAAGGTGACCCCCCCAGCCTCTCTTCTGGAGACTGTGGGCTCGTGGTGGGGTTGGATGTAGAGGGAACCAAACCCCACGAACCCTGGGAGCAAGCTCTGTATCCTTTCTTTCCTGTGACAGCTAAAACCTGGCAAAGAAGATAAGCTTTTCAGGAAAAAGGTACCATCTCCCTCCTCGCCCCAGGCCCACTCCTGGGACAGTGGGGTGGAGGGTGGGGAGGCCTGAGTGGGCCCATTCCTGGGCCAGGGGCTTACCTACCTGTGCTCCCCTCCTCCCTCAGAGGCGGTCCTGGAAGAACGCTGAGGACCGGATGGCTCTTGCCAACAAGCCTCTCAGGCGGTTCAAGCAGGAGCCAGAGGACGACCTGCCAGAGGCGCCCCCCAAGACCCGGGAGAGCGACCACTCCCGCTCCAGCTCCCCCACCGCGGGGCCCAGCACCGAGGGGGCAGAGGGCCCCGAGGAGAAGAAGAAGGTGAAGATGCGCCGGAAGCGGCGGCTCCCCAACAAGGAGCTGAGCAAGGAGCTGAGCAAGGAGCTCAACCAGGAGATCCAGAAGACGGAGAGCAGCCTGGCCAACGAGAACCACCAGCCCATCAAGTCGGAGCCCGAGAGCGAGAATGAGGAGCCCAAGCGGCCCCTGGGCCTCTGCGAGCGCCCCCACCGCTTCAGCAAGGGGCTCAACGGCACCCCCCGGGAGCTGCGGCACCAGCTGGGGCCGGGCCTGCGCAGCCCGCCCAGGGTCATCTCCCGGCCCCCTCCCTCTGTGTCCCCACCCAAATGCATCCAGATGGAGCGACACGTGATCCGGCCGCCCCCCATCAGCCCCCCGCCCGACTCACTGCCCCTGGATGATGGGGCGGCCCACGTCATGCACAGGGAGGTGTGGATGGCCGTCTTCAGCTACCTCAGCCACCAAGACCTGTGTGTCTGCATGCGGGTCTGCAGGACCTGGAACCGCTGGTGAGGGGGCGCTGGCTGAGCTGGGAGGTGGAGGCAGCAGGTGCCTGGCCCCGGGTTGGACCGCAGGCTAAGGCTTAGGCTAGACCAGGGATGGCACATGTGTCCCCACTTGAGTCACTCGTGATGCTGCTTTCTAAGCCCAGTCCTGCTTAAGTATCCTTCTCAAAGAGTTCTGGGCAGCTTCAGCAGTCCAGTCAGTGTGGTCCTGTCGTCGAAGAGGTGAACCCTATTTGCTTTCCTGTTTTAGCTCCTTGGGAAGTGAACTAAGGACCAGGTGGAGTCCTTGTCCTTCAAGTTAAGTTAGCCCAGGTTAAGAGTGAGTGTGCTGGTTACTGATCTTCATCCCTGCTTTGATAGTTCCCAGCTTTCTGACCTTCATCTGTGAACAGGCGTGGTGCCTGCCTCGCAGGTGGTTTTGAGATGTGGCCTGCGGAGGGTGTACTAAAGCCCCGGTAAACGCTTTGTGGAGAGCAGATGCTGGTGCTTTCCTGGGGCGGGGGTGCTGTAGCCTTCAGAGCAGAGACACCCAGATATGAACAAGACAAACGAAACAAGGTCCAGAGGGCGAAGTTAAGGAGCCTCCCCTTGGGCTTGGTAGGTGGGGGACTGACCACAGCCAACAGGGGCTCCCCAAGTGAGCCCCCAACTCTGATGCTGCCCCCTTCACTGGGCCTGGCCCCCAGGTGCTGCGATAAGCGGTTATGGACCCGCATCGACCTGAACCACTGCAAGTCCATCACACCCCTGATGCTGAGTGGCATCATCCGGCGACAGCCTGTCTCCCTGGACCTCAGCTGGACCAATATCTCCAAGAAACAGCTGAGCTGGCTCATCAACCGGTTGCCTGGTGAGCCCTGGGCCAGGTACCCCCAGTGTGCAGTAACGGGGGCTGGGGTGTGTCACCTGACCTGCCGCCCCACCCCCTTGTCCCCCCAGGGCTCCGAGACTTGGTGCTGTCAGGCTGCTCGTGGATCGCAGTCTCAGCCCTCTGTAGCTCCAGTTGTCCGCTGCTCCGGACCCTGGATGTCCAGTGGGTGGAAGGACTAAAGGATGCTCAGATGCGGGATCTCCTGTCCCCGCCTACGGATAACAGGCCTGGTGAGTGGCCGGACCGGGAGTGTGCCCAAGGGGGTCACATGGAGGTGGTGTGACCGAGCTGTGCTGTTGGGTCTGGTTTTCACCACAGACCCCATCTGACACTCACATCCTTGAGGCTTCTCTGGCCTCAGCCCTTCTCCAGGGGATGCAGAGCTGAGTCCCAGCGGCTGTTCTCGGCAGCCTTGGGCACAGACGGGATCTGTGAGAGGGCAGAGCTTCCTCTGCACACCCAGGACGCCATTCTGGGAGCTCTACGTGCATGTGACTGCTTCTCTGTTAATTTATCCTTCAGGGTCAGCATGGGCAGACAGGGCCTCACAGGGTAGAGACCTCCTTAGTTGGGTTGCAGGGGTCACTGCTTCCCGCCAGTTGCTTAAATGAGGAAACCGTGGTGACCCAGAGGTGCTGTGCTGTCTCTGCCCCAGTTGGCTGAGCACTGCTGGTGGAATTCAGGCTCTGTGTTTCTAGATCTTCTGACTATAAAGAATCTGGAAGTGATATGGAATCTTTTGATTTTTAAATGTTGGAACCAGTTCTGATCTTATGGGGGAAACACTTAATGGCTAAATGAAACCGAGGTGTTCTGTCTGGCTGGTGGGCCTTTTAGGGTGTCATGTCAGGGTGACATCTTGCCTTTCTCCTCCTGCCCTCAGGTCAGATGGACAATCGGAGTAAGCTCCGGAACATTGTGGAGCTGCGTCTGGCTGGCCTGGACATCACAGACGCCTCCCTGCGGCTCATCATTCGCCACATGCCCCTGCTCTCCAAGCTCCACCTTAGTTACTGTAACCATGTCACTGACCAGTCCATCAACCTGCTCACCGCTGTGGGCACCACCACCCGAGACTCCTTAACCGAAATCAACCTGTCAGGTCAGTCGGGGGCACCCATCAGAGTCTGCCCAGGACCTGGTGGGATGGGCTGGGAATTTCACATTTGTTGGGAAATACTCATGTGCCTGCTAACAGGGTCGCTAACAGTGTCAAGTACTGTGACATACCAGCAAACAAGACAGACACACAGCCTAGTCTTGAGGGGAAACGTGCATTAAACAAGCATTACTAGGTATTTAATAATTGCTGCCCCCAAAATAGTGCTAGTAGCAGTGAGAGCCTGTAGCAGTGGTTCTTGACCCAAAGTATGGGCTAGAAGAGCTTCCCTTGGGTGGTGTGGGCAGGCTGGTGGCTGGCAGCAGGCGATGTGGGAGCGGCTGGAGGTGAGGTGGCCAGCCCAGTGGAGTGAGCGGCTTGGTTTCTGCCACTGTTGTCACTTCCGTGTCTGTCTCCTGACACTGCTGTCCAGGGGCCTGTTGTTGAAAAGAAGAAAACCCCACAGCTGGTGCCGTTATTAAAGCTCTGTGTCTGCACACACACTGCGGGACCCTCCCTCCCTGCCACTTACGGATGGGCCGACGTTGGCTCCTGAGGACTTGGGGCACAGCCGGCGGGGAGGCGGGCAGAGAGAGGCCACGCATGCTGCCCACCCGCAGTCCAGCTAACCCACTTCTGGGCTGATCACTTAGGGTGGTCAGATTGGGTGTGTAAGATTTGAATGAGACTGAAAACAGAAAAAGAGAAAAACTGTTTTCTCCAGAAATTTCCAAGTAACACACGATGCCTTCACCTCATTTAAATTACATTTTGACATGATCTGCTCTGATGTTTTGCTGCATCAAGATTCACATGCTGTTTAGCTGTCGGCCTTTCTTCATCCCACATTCATCCCCGAAAAGCACCCTCCTGTCACCAGGGCTGCGGCTGAGCGGGAGTGGGGTCTGGGTGGTGTGCGCTCATGCTGCGCCTCGGTGCCTAGGGAGCCTCCCTCCTCCACGGGGAGCTTTGGTGGCGGGTGGCCGCACCCCCTGGAGGCAGAGAACGGAGCCACTCCAAGGTGGTTTTCACTGAGGACCCGGCTCCAGGCTTAGCTCGGGGTCTTGGACTGATGCTGGGGGTGCCCTGTGGAGAAGGGCTGGGCAGTAATGCACTGTCTTCATTTATCTAATTTAGCTCCTACGTGTGTGTGGCAGAGATCCCAGTGGGAATCCCATGCCCTGCAGCTCAGTCCATGGTGTGTTTGTATACATCGTCTTTTGCACTTTGTTTCCCGCCATGATCCATTCCGCTCCTCCTTTTGTCTCACAACCTGCAGATCTCTGCATTTGTGTTCAGAGCTGTGACGCACAGGAAGAGACTCCAGACCCAGTCCCTCCTAGATTCCTTTCTTGTTAAAATGTTCTCCCCTCCTGTCGTATAACTAGTTAAGTTTCTGCCACAAAACGGGTGACACTTAACACGTGTCCAGATGCTTCATGTGGTTGGAGGATCGGGTCTGGTGACGCGGTGAGGCCTTGGTTGTCCAGCTTTTGATACTCAGGCTGGGTTTTATAGAGAAACGCTAGTTGGGTGCTCAAGGTGGCCCTTTCCCCTCCTGATTCTCACCTGGAGGCAGTGACCTTCCACTCTCTTCCAGTGCTTCCTCCATCTTTCCAGACAGCAAGCCCACAATGCTATTTCTTGGGTTTCTTTTTCATTTTTTCCTCTTCAGACACTGTTACTCTGCCATGTTGAACACAAGGATTACTCGTCATACCTTCTCTGACTCCGCCCTTTTCTCCCTCCGTCTTCCCAGTTTGTGGTTGAGTCACTGTTGTTCACCTGATTACGGCCATGGCAGTATTGTTCTCTGTTGAGCCAAAGTGTGTATTATGAGTATGTTTCCTTCATTGCACAATTTTTTGTTTTGTTTTCCCTGGAGTTAATAATTGCTTCATTTTTGTTTGCTTAGTTTCTGAACAGTACTCTCCTGAGTACTGTCCTTTCCCCACACAAACTATCAGGTCCCCGACCAGTCTTTGTAGGAAACCACCCTCCTGGACTCCTTTGCCTCCTGCCCCGCCCCCATTTGAACTTGGCCATTTCTGCCTGCGGCACAGCTGCGGTCCTGGGACTTACCTGGTCTCTGTCTTGTGCAGGGGCCCCTCTTTCTTTGGTCCTGTATCTTCTTTCTTGGCTTATATATTTGCTTACTTGGTGGAGGACGTCTTCCAGACCTTGTACATCTGAAATTGGTTTTATAATAGCTCACGTTTAATTGATAGCTGGTTATAGAGTCCATATTAGGGAACTGTGTTGTTTCATAAAGTGGGAGGCACTGCTCATCTGTCTTCTGCCTTCCAGAGCACACATCCAAAATGATTTGATTCCTAATCCTTTAATGAGTAATCTCTCTTTGGAAGCTTGTGGGACATGTTGCCTCTAAGTTTTCTGCAGGTATTGATGAGGAAGTTTGAGTCTTGGTTTGAGTCTGCTTTAATCTACCACCTTGAACATTCATAAGCAAACATTCTTTCACTCTCTCAATTTGGAAATGTGTGTCCTCCAGTTCTGGGAAAGCCCCTTGAATTATTTTATTTCCTTCCCTTCTGTTTTCTTTCTTTACTAAGCCCTCTGGTGCCTTTACTCTTTTTCTCCTATTTCCCACCTCTGTGTCTTTTTGCTCTATTTTCTAGTTTTCCTCCACTTATCACATAATTCATACAGTTGACTCTTGAACAACGCAAGGCTAGGGGTGCGAGCCCTCCGCACACTCAAAAGTTTGCGTATAGCTTATAGTTGGCCCTTGGTATCCACACTTCCTCCAGAAGCTCAGATTCTACCACCTTGGAATCGTGTAGCGCTGTATGTAGTATTTACCGTTGGAAAAAACCTGCATGAAAGTGGACCCACACGGTGCAAACCTCTTGTTGCTCAAGGCTCATCTGTAGTGCGCTTTTCATTTCTGCTGTCTTTAGGTTTGAGCATACGAAGCTGCTCTTTATGTGGGTCAAAAACCGTCAATATTGGCAGTTTTCGTGTGGTGTGACCTATGTTTTTGATTTCACAGCTGTGTTTTGTTCTCTGAACTTTTATAGAGTGGCCTGGATCTTGATGTTGTCCATCCTAAAGATCCTGTGGTTTTATTTTCTTCTCCACATAGACCGTCCATTCCTTCCAGTGCAGTCCTTGGCCTGCCCAAGCGGCCGTCCTCTGATTAGTGTCAACACGTGGTTGTCTGCTCAGGCGGTCGGGGGCTCTGGGCGCACAGTGGGAGCCGGTCTGCTGTGGACATCGGTTGGATGGTCGGTGTGGGTCTTGTCTTTTGGGGAAGCCCAGACGTGACATCTTCCCATCTTTCCTCTGAAGCTGGTCAGGGTTGCCAAAGGACTCTTACCCCTTGACCTCCTCACTGAAGGGTTCAGGCTGGGCTTCTGGTGTCCAGAGCTTGGCAGGGAAGGAAGCTGGGGCCTCAACAGGCAGCAGGTAACTTTTCCTGTAAGCCCTGTCTGTGGGAGGGCGCCCCTACCTTGCACGGTTGCCTGGTGGCGCCCGGCCTAGAGCCCTTCTCTTGCCCAGACACAGCTCCCCTCTTCTGCTGGGGAAGGGAGTCTCTGCCTCTTACTGCTTTTTAAACAGGTTTTAACTTGTCTGTCCATCTCCAACCCCACTTCCAGGGTCCCTGTTGCTTCCAGCACCTCAACCTGTGAGGTCTTCTGTAGACTAAATCTGCTTCTCCGCTTTCCCTTAAGCCAGTTTGGGGTTAAGTCTCCTCAGTCTACTGAATTGTTACCCCTTCATAGCTTCTGTAATTTTTTTAAAAAATTGTTTTTTATTATGGTGAGATACAAGTAACATAAAATTTACCACTCTAACCATCTTTCAGTGCACAGTTCACTGGCATTAAGGACATACACGTTGTTGTGCAGCCACCGCCACCCTCGTCCCCAGAAGGTCCTCTTCACCCCGTCAGGAACTGGGTCCTGCTACACAGTAGCTCCCCCTCCCTTTGTCCTCCCACCGTGGCAACCACGGTTCCACTTTCTGGGTACCTCACATAAGTGGGATCATGCAGTAGTTTCTTGTGTGACTGACTGACTTTACTTAATGTAATGTCCTCAGGGTTCATCCGTAGTACAGCACGGGTCAGAATTTCCTCCCTTTCATAAAGCTGAAACGTATTCTGACAGACACTGGAGTTGCTTCCATCTTTTGGTTGAGAGTAATGCTGCTTTGAACATGGGTGTGCTAATTGTTTGGGTGTGTGCCCTGAGACTCAGCTGGGCCATGTGGTAATTCTGTGTCCAGGGTTTTTGAGGAACTACTGTATTGTTTTGAGTAGCAGCCGCACTGTTTTACCTTCCCACTTACAGCACAAAGGGCTCCAGTTTCTCTGCATCCTTGCTAATGCTTATTTTCTGGGTTATTTTTAATAGCCATTCTAAGGGGTATGATTTCAGTGTGGTTTTGACTTCACTTTCCGTAATGACTAGTGATGCTGAGCATCTTTGCATTTGCTTATTTGCCTTCAGTACATCTTTGAAGAAACTTTCTACTCATGTCCTTTGCCCGCTTTTCCATCAGGTTTTTCTCTTGTTGACTTTTGGGAGTTCTTTATACATTCTAGCTGTTACTCCTTTACCAGAGACATGATTTGCAAATACTTTCACCCATCCTATTGTCTTTCTCACTCTTGATAGTGTCCTTTGTGCACAAGTTTTTAATTTTGATAAAATTTGTATCTTTTCTCTTTTGTTTCCGGTGCACACCATGTACACACTTGGCACATCTTCTGCTGTGACACAGCGCAGTGTCATGTCCCCAGCAGTGGGACCGCCGCTGTCAGAGCAGATGCAGGTGGCGGGATGGCCCCCACGCCCCTCTGCCCGCTGCCATTTCTGTAACCCTTGGGGGCCTGCTTTGGGTCACTCCATCCTCAATCTTCTAGCTTTACCTTCCCTCCCCTTATAGGATGTTACACATCCTTCATCACTTGCCTGCGGTAAGATTATAAAGGGGGGTTAGCATTTGAGACATTAATTACAACACGAAGGGAGACCCTTAGAAAAACTGAGGGGTCCTCCTCAGATCATCTCTTTGGCAGCATCCTTGTTGCTTTCCCATCTGTCTTCATCTGTTAGTGGCAGTGACGGGAGGCGGACAGCTTTCCATGACCTTGGTCCATGTTCGTGGATGCTGCCTTTACACGGTGCCTGAAAGGTGTATCCCGCACTCTGTGAGCTTCTGTGCACAGACTCCGTGCAGACCTGCGGAGAGCGTTTGAAGGGGCTCCCCGGATCGAGGTGGTCCGCTCTTTGGTGACTTGTGTGGTTCTGGGGCTGGGCTTCCTCTCGCCACCCCCTAAGCTGGGGGGACTCTGGCAGGCCGGAGCCGGCACAGGCCTCGTACGCGTGATCGCAGTGTGCCCTTCCTGTTTGTATTCCTGCTCAACTTAATAGTAGAATGGAAGTGTGGACACTAGTGATGACAAGCAGAGGTCTCAGGCTTAATACTGCAGAAATCAGGGACTCACCCGGCTCAGTGTGGGGGAACTCTGAGCCTCAGACGCTAACTGGCACTGCAGAACTGACCGGGTTCAGTTCCACAAGTAAAGAGGACGACAGAAGCCAAGTGCACGTGGATGGACATACACGGTTGAAGTGCATCCACAGGGGAGGGTTTGAGATTCTGGTTTTGCTCTCTGGACCCTCTGCGGCCCCTCTAGCACACGGGGCTCCTGCACAGGTTTCAGGTCAACAGTGAAGGGCTGGCCCGCACGCCATGCCCCGTCTAAAGCGCTGGTGCCCAGTGAGCAGGGGGCCCCAGGATGGCCACGCAGGTGTTCACTGTCCCCAGTCTCTCCCTCCGGGAGTAAGGTATTAAATGGGAAAGGCAAGCTATTTTCCGATGCTGTGTGATCCTCTCCTGTAAAACCAGACAGGAGACCTGTTGGTGTGAGAATGTAGACATGCAGAGGAGGCTGTGTGGTAAAATTCTAAGGAGTTTCACTTGGAACGTGGGAACTTTTTTTCAAGCACTTGTGAACCTGGTTCCAGGCAGGTGGAAGCCCTGCCCATTTGAAAAGAGCTTTTAAGTTGCTGAGGGCCTGGGGAGGGCAGTGGGGCTCACCTCCGCGCTTCCTCCACCTCACGCTGTGTCCTCTTCCCCGCAGACTGCAATAAGGTCACTGACCAGTGCCTGTCCTTCTTCAAACGCTGTGGAAATATCTGTCATATTGACCTGAGGTACTGCAAGCAAGTTACCAAGGAAGGCTGTGAGCAGTTCATAGCTGAAATGTCTGTTAGTGTCCAGTTCGGGCAAGTGGAAGAAAAACTCCTGCAAAAACTGAGTTAGTCCAAGGACAAGCCTGTAAATACTGGGGTGGGGGTGGGAGGGGACATGGCAGGGGAGGGTAAAAGACTTTTACAAAAACTAGGGCTTTTATTTTCAATCTGGAACTTGGAACAACAGACCATGGAACGATTCCACTTCACAAGTCTTGCCGAAGGAGAAGCCGTTCCACCACCCGTCCTGGGGAGGAGTGAGCCGGGCGCTCTCCTTTGGTCTTTCTGAATCAAAACTGCACTGCTTTCTGGACCATTTCTAAGGCGGCCTTTACCAAGAAGACATTCCTGTTGGAGAGGAGGATGGACTTGGGAGAAATTCGCTTACCGAACGAAGCATGAGCTTAGGAATTTTTTTTTGGTGGTGGTGTTTTTGTTTTGGACACCTTGTTCCTGGCAACTTTGGGGGTTTTGGTGTCAACATAAAGTGGACCACACACCACATCTGCCGTCTTGACATACTTGTTTGTTTGGTTTTGTTACATCTTACATTATGCAGAACTATTTTTGTACAAATTGTTTAAAAGTTATTTATGCAAGGTTTGAATGCATACCAGTGTTTTTATTGTTTTGAGATTGCCAACTTTCCTGGTTTCCTTAAGGTAGGAGAGAACTTAACCTGTGCTTCACTGATACAAACCCATCTACACACGTGCCCAGATCTGGCAAAGCAGGCTCAGACCTTCCAGTGAAAAGCATGTTCAACTGGAAGTCGAGCACCTGCTTTTTACATCAAGAACTTACATAATAAGCATGTTGTGGATATATGTACATTATAGTCAAGGTGAGACACTTTGCTAAATTTCCTCTGTATAGAGTTCACCTTTTTCTCAAAATTTTAAGATTCAGATTTCAGCCTTTGCACTCAGGAGGGTTTTGCTCCAGCATGAGCTCTTGTCTACATAGATCTAATTTATACAGTGAGTCAAGAAGTAGAATAAATGATCCAACGTTTCTTCCCTTCTTTTCTCTCCTCTGAAGTGTGAGTTGAGTTCTCGTTTAAGGTTCCTAACACAGCTGTTTCCCAGTTGTAAAGTTACGCATTCACAAGTGCCATGGCTGTACGGTGGTGTGTTCCTAGACCTTCCCTGACGTGCTTTTACCTTTGTTGAATTTGTATAAACAGTTGTACAAAAAATCCAGCCGTGGCCTTGAGGGTTTCTGTTCTAGGGGTGCACTAGGAATCTGACTAGGAAGTCCAGGGCAGTGGTCTCAACATGAGTGTACATTGTTTTGAAGCCAGACAGGCTAAATTTTTTTCACCTGAGAAATGCAGCAGCCCCTTGGTACATGTTTTTTCCATCTTCAGAAAGAGATCTTGTTGTTTGTGGCGAATAAAGGTAATGGGAGAGAACTGTGCTACCCCAGTGTCCGTGTGAGAACTGCCGCAAAGGGCAGGATGGCTTAGCTGTGCTGGTGCCTCTGAGCACACCTGTATAAAGTAACTCCCACAGCCACCTGGCGCTTCCACTGCCACCCGGGGTGGGGCGTGTCCAATTCCTCAGCCTCCAGCTGAGGGAGGCCGCATCCTGCCCTGGTAACCTTGGGCGGGGGAGGCTGGAGGCACTTGGTTATGAGGTGACTTCCCCAGGGTGGGGGCGCAGACACGGAAACCAGCGAGAAGTTAGCTTTAGGTCATAGAACTCTTTTAAATGACAGGGCCCTGCTACCTCATACTCAGCACTGAACAACTGCTCTAGTCCCGAAAATGGAGAGGATAAGCCAGCTTCCTCCCTCCCTCCCTCCGTCAATGACGTAAGCCCCGGATCTGGTGGGACTGGCCTTCCTGCTAATGGCAGTTTCACACTGCTCCCCCATCTTTTTCTTTCTTTCTTTTTTTGACCATGCTGAAATGAACCTAGATGGAACCATACCTCCTGTTAATTTAAATCCAAAGAGCCTTTCTGACTCAGGTTGGAGACATCTGAGGCTGCTGCACCCCAGAATTTAACTCAGACAAGGCATTTAACAGAGGTAAGATTAGCTTAACACTCCATGGTTTATTTATAAAAATGTGGCTTACCTTGACAAGCCAGAGCATTCATCGTGGAGCACCCACACAAGAGGTCAAGTTTCAGTGTTCTTGGCAGCCCGAGTTCTGTGAACCTCCAAGTCAGAGTTACTCTGATGTCCAGTAAAGGCATCTTCTGCCTAAGAATTGTAAGAAACAGTGGTTTCCCGGTGGAATCTGGGCCATTTCTCCTGTAACACTTCCTGGAGCTCATAGGCCTGCTGAGAGAGGAGGTGAAGGGGGAGCTGCCAGGGCTGGGGAGCCGGCGTTTCCACAGGGACACCCACAGCACAGAGCATCTCTCTAGACATGAGGCAGGCGGGGGCAGGGCTCTGGTTACAGATGACCTGCCCCTCAAGTGTACTGAACAATCCAGTTAAGATTATACCCCAGTACAGTCTCATACAGACCTATACCTTCAAGAATGAACTTTAGACGAGGCCAGGCCAAGCTAGACGCTTGCACACAGCTGCTGAGCCCATACACCGTACCTGACGAAGTAAGGGAAGGACCATAAACCAGAGGGACTGCTTCCTGTGTGAGGTCACAACTTCTTAGAAAAGAGGAGAGGCTCCACCCCTGCTCCTCTGGGGATCCAACCTTTACAAAGGCAGGCACCATGGCCCGTCCAAAGCATCGACTGATTCTTCCAAACTGTGAGGATGGGGACAGAGACATCACTGTATTCCACTGTGGACCTCTGGAAATTAATCCGTATAGTCTGATAGATTACCTGTTGAGAGAATTAAAGAGGCGTGGCATGCAGGTAGGTAATGCAGATTCCAGGAAGAAATGTTAGTACCTGGCAATTCAGTTACTCCAAGCATCAAGCTTACTAAGCTAAGAATTTGTTGGCTTCTCACTAAGCAAAAGTTACTTCAAAATGTTACCTAAGGAGATCCACCATTAAGGGTTTCTGTTCGTTGCTAAAACAAGCACCTGAAACTTTACATTTATACATAAACAAACTGTTTTAAGCTTGTACATTTAAGACTATGTGCAATGAAGTCTCAATTTTCTAATTTAACTTCAGACAAACCTGCTGCTCAGCTTCTATTTCAATGTGTTTACTGTCACCTGCTGGCCTGGATTTGAAGACTTCCTCCTAATTAGTGATTTGTGGGGAACATTGACTTTCCAGAGTTCACTGTCTCACGAGAAGTACAAAGTGCTCCCAAAGCTTCAGCAGGGGCTGAGGTTTTACCGTCCATGTGAATTGTGGCCAGTACCCACCCTAGGCTCTGCAGGCAAACAGGAGAGAAGGGTATTTGAGAACATCCACAAGACCTTGATTTACATGCTTTAACCCTCAAAACCAGAAGTAGAAAACATTCTGCCTTAAGCAGAGAAGAGCAAGACTCTCTACCTCCCTGGCTGTAACTTTCAGCCCTTGTTGGGTTTTTTTTTTAATTCTATTTTTGTTTTCTTTGGCCGAGGTACTGGGGATTGAACTCAGAACCTCGTGCATACTAAGCACATGCTCTACCTCTGAGCTGTACCCACCCCTCTCAGGTCTTGTCGATTTGACTTCTGGATCCTGAGCACCTGAAGGCATGTGGTACACACTGCAGAGTCAAGATAAAACCCACTGGACTCAGCCAAGAAGTTAGATGTTTCCTAAAAACATACCTGCCCATGTCCAGTGGGAGTGAATCCACAGTTGGTCTCAACCAAACCACCCTGATGAGAGACCTGAAAGAAGAGAGATTATAAATCATTAGTGTCCCAAGAAACCGCATAAGCTCATGTCTCAGGTTTCTCATTTGTGGTTTTGGAAGAATTAAGAAAAAACATTGGTATCAGAGTTAGGTTTAAATTCTGATGTGGCCACTTTTAACTGAGAATTTAGACAAGTTCTTTAACTTCTCGAAGATCAGGTTCCCCATCTGTGACGGGAGGCAGTATCTATCTCAGGACGCTGGATGTAACGATAAAGGCCCTAGCACAACCGGGGTCACAGGAAGCGGCGAGCCCGCAGTCAACCTCGCTGGTTCATCGGCAGCCAAGGCAGATCGTTGCAGCATCGTTGAAGGTGCTCCTTTCTCTCATGAAGACGGTGGCAGATGAGGCGTGGACACCCATTCATGCCAGACTCAAGTGAATTAGGAACCAACCAGGACAATGTGAACAAAAGCATTTTTTAAAATCTAATTTTATTCCTAAAGTTCAAATTAGCTAGCGGGTAGCACTGAAAATACACTTTCACTATACAAAACAGTGTAAACTGATTACACGTCAATAAAGAATGTGACACACACACTTGTCTAATGAAAGAAGCTAGATGCAGCCCTTGCTATAAAAAGCTGTACCTGAACAGAAATGGACATGTTTAGTCTAAGGCCCTGGCAGTTGACTATAGAATGTCAGTTGTTCCCAATTACGTTTAAACGCAGAAATAGCAACAATGTGGAAACTTACATTCATCAAATAGTAGCATTTAAAATACACATGACTAATAAAATGAACATTCAGAGGTGCCACTGCTCAGCGTGTACCGTGTCGGCCACTTGCAGACAGTGATCTCATCCAAAGAGAGCAGAAGTTTCAAACATCTGAGTAGTTTAAGTTAAAAATAGGATGAAGGAGAAATAAGAGAACAGGATCAGTGTCCTCCAAAGAGCAGTAGCTGATGCCACTAAGCAGTCTGACTTCTGCAACCAGTGATCACAGACGTGAGGAGGCCCGGCAGGGCCTGGGAGACTCGGCCTGTCCTCGGGCCGACAGGCGCGTGGCGTGGGCCAAAGCTGCCGCAACTTAGGATGAATCTTTCCATCTCCCGATAGTAATGAAAATAATTTTAAAATAGCTTCGGCTTCTGAACAGTAAGTTTCTAGTCCCTTCCGTGCATTGAAATGTCTGGGTGGGAGCTTGGGGGCGAGTGCCCGGCGGGGGAGCCTGGGCCTCAGGACTTGAACACGTGCACGGCGCGCACCACGTACTGCCGGCAGATGGGACACTCGCTCATGCGCTTGCCACACTTGGTGCAGGTGACCATGTGCCCGCACTCGAGCAGGACGCAGTCGATGACGGCGTCCATGCAGATCCGGCACAGGCTGTCGTCCTCGTCGTCCTGCAGCTGCAGCCGCTCACCATCTGAAAGGCAACAGAGAGCGAGGGCTGCGGGCGCAGCCGCCTGGCAGGCCAAGCTGTGGCCCAGAATGAGCCCCCGGAAGACGTAATCCCAGTGCTCGGCACTTCGGCTCTTTCCGCTAGACGTGGAACCCCTGCAGGGCTTTGTGAAGAATAAATGAGAAATGCTTAGCTTCGGGCCAGGTATGAAGCGCTTAACAATGTCAGCTATTGAACCTGTTTTATATCTGTACATAATACAGGGTTTTTGGGTGAAGGACAAGAATTGCTTCTGTAAATACAAAGGAGAAAACCTGAGGTTTTCCTACATATGGGCCTCAGAGTCAGAACAGGACTGGAATTTCCAGCCCAAATGTGTGGCTTTGGCAAAGTCGCAGGCGCCAGAGCTTCCTCTCAGGAGCAGGACCTTCCACACTGATAGTCAGACATCAAGCAGCCTGTATGTGGGGGAAGGCACCCCTCAAGCCTTGGACGCATCTCAGAACTCATCCTGGTACGTTGGGGTCTGTATAACTCAAAAGGGACGGGACATTCTGGCTCTGAATAAGCAAGGTGCAGAATGAGTTTAAAAAGTTCA